GTTTTTTTTTTTTTTTTTTTTTCAAAGCATATTTATAAACATTTTATTTATGAATGGAGTTTTCAAATCGAAAACAAATCCATAATTGTTGCAATCATGTATCCGAGTGACAGGAGTTCCGTATTCCCTTACTTGCCAGGGTTGAATGGTGGTGGCTATAAAATGAAGAAAATGTGTCAAAATTTTTGTGGGTTAAGAAAATCTAATTATGAACTTACGTTGCCATCATTGTAGGCCAAGAGAGCAGTGAAGGCAGCAACAACCATAACGAGGAACTTCATGTTTGGAAGATGATTACTTTTCACACTGTATGCAAATACAAAGATGAATTGTAGAATGATGTAGAAACCATTCAGCTGGCTTTAAATAAGAGGCCAGTGAGCGAAAACTAGTTTATTAAGAAACTTAGATATGCAGATCAATGCGCGATAAATTTCGAATATGTTATTGGTTTAAATCAAAAGTAAATATTAATGAATGAGAAATGCTTTTTTTTGTGAAATTTTCGAATTTGAATATAACAAATTTTGAAAAGAAGAAATTTAAGCCGGCTTGAATAGCTTATGTGTAACACAAGAAAATTTCGTCTATGTAAGGATTTTTTTTTTTGTAAAAGAGCCTTTAACTAATATATACTCTCGTCATCCTAATATTTAAATATATTACAAACTTTATTTATAGCTTATATCCAATCAGTATTATTTTTCAATTTTGTAATACTTATTTCTCTACATTTCGAAAATTATTGAATGTTGGCCTGTGCAATATTCATATCTAGATGAAGCTCGATATAATATTTTATTTTAATTTCTCGTAATGGACATTTTTCGCTAAAAAACAGTTTGCCTGAGATCTACACTTAGTTGGTTAGAAATATTGTTTCATGGTAAAGTGTTATCAAATTTCAAAATATTTTGAGATAGATTCTTATCAAGATGGCGCTAGTTTGAACATGTACTGAAATTCGAAGAATCCTTTTCGAGCTTTAACAAAATTGCAGGACAAATTATTATACATTCTTTTCTTCGGTTTTCTCATCAATCTTAATCTTTAAAAACTGAAAATTTTCATATATATATTTTTGGGTCAAAATATATAGCATATACTTTTTTACTAACTACTTCGTAGTATTTATTTAGAAATAGGAAGTTTGGTTATAGTTATTGTAGAAGTATCACTATAGCCATATTTCGCCTCAAGATTTGTCCATCTATATGGACTACTATTGGTCTGCCCAATATCGGAATAATTAATTTTATTTTAATAATTTTTTATATCAATTTTATCAAAAGTTAGTTCGTCATGCGTCAGTTCTAACATGTATTGAAATTCTAAGGATCGTTTGAGAGTTTTCACAAAATTCCAGAACAAATTAAATCACATTTTTTTATGTGCCTACTAACCTTACTTTTGTGTTACCCTTAAACTTTTACATCCCGTTACTTTATACTTTTATTACCGACTTCATCGAAGTATGTATTCTTATCCTGTAATGATATTCGCCTAAAAGTATGTCCATTTTCATATTTTCACCATCCAATATCGAGAAGGTTTTCATTAAAATATTGTTTATATTTTTTTAAGGCCAATACGTATAAAAAAATAGTCCAACAATTTTTTTTTCTGGAGAAAAATTATTTGTTTCAAATGCTTAATTTTTCTCAGTCAGTTATAATATCAATATATAGGTGGCACTCATTCAAAATATTTTACAAAACTAAGTATTTCTATGGAATCCTGTACATAATTCAAGGATAATGTCCTATCAAATGGTAAATTGTGAAACTATATTTTCTAAACATGTCCTATCTAATGGTAAATTGTGAAACTATATTTTCTAAAGACTTCAGAGATCAGTTTATATTCATTAGACAACTACTTAACGACCCAAAATCTAAATCCAGATGGCGCTGATTTTTTATTATTTGGATTCCTCGAAGGACATGTATTTATCAAATGAGAGAAGATGTAGCACTTGCTTCTCCATATATTGCAATACGCTTCTGTACCGATATTTTTACAACAAGTAAAAAAGCAGTAAGTTCGGCCGGGCCGAACTTTGAATACCCTCCACCATTTGGAACGAATTAGAAAATTTTCAAAAAAAAATAAAATCCATTAAAAATTCTTTTAAAATCTTTAAAATATCTAATGTAGGAAGGTGTCGATATGGGGGAATATACGATATTGTGGACCTATAAAACAAATCTATGTCTGCATGTAAAGTACTCACAAGGAACTCCTTGTGTGGATTTTCAGACAATTCTATTGAAAAATGTGGCTAAAATCATCAAAATACCGAATATCGGGGGTACCGTTATATGGGGGCTATACGATATCGTGGACCGATATAGCCCATCTTCGAACTTGACCTACCTGCAGACAAAAGAGAGATCTGTGCAAAATTTTAGCTTCCTATCTTAATTCGTTTAGACTGTAGCGTGACTACAACAGACGGACAGACGGACGGACAGGGCTAAATCGTCTTAGAATTTTACGCTGATCAAGAATATATATACTTTGTTGGGTCTAAAATGATTATTTCGATGAGTTACAAACGGAATGACGAACTTAATATACCCTCCATACTTTTTTTGGTGGAGGGTATAAATAATATTGGAGTCGTAGCCAAAATCATATTCTAAATAATATATCGATTTTCAAATCAAGATGTCGTTTCTTACGTTACGTTTTTCATCATTTTCATCAAATGCATTAAAAAAAAAAAACGTTGCCAGACACAAGGTAAAGTCCCTCATGTACTACTTTTTTCAAAGAAATACATTTTTACCTAAAATCGTGAATTTTTCTCGAATATCTTCTCGTTCTGCCAATATCAAAATTAAGATGGCGCTCATTTGAAAAACATGTTGTGAAAATTAACATTTCTATACAAACTTTTGTACAATATGCCTTAAGTCTCCAGTATCCCAGTTGTTTTATTGGCCTAAGGATGCGTTGATAAATTTACATTTCACAGGGTATAATATGTCATCCCATTATCGATGTGAAGGTGGCGCTCTTAATGCTATGTGGAACAATACCAGACCTACTTTAACAAATTTTGGAATTTTGGAATTTCTTCTTCTTGAATTTCTTGCCAAATTTTTTTAATTGTATGAATTGGAGAGTTGTCAAGTTTTTCAAATATAATTCTATCTAAAAAGATCTTCCCAAGAATTTTATTTATTTATTTTTTCAAGTCATCGAAGGCCTTTCGTCTTTCTTTCGAAAATAGTTTGACAAAAAAATATTTAATATATCATAAATATGTTGTGAAAATTAAAATTTCTATACAAACTTTTGTAGAATATGCCAGTTGTTTTATTGTGAAGGTGGCGCTATTAATGCTATGTGGTACAATACCAGACCTACTTTAAAAAATTTTGGACCTATTTCAATAGCAATTCTTGCCAAAATTTTTTAATTGTATGAATTGGAGTGTTGTCAAGTTTTCCAAATATAATTCTATCTAAAAAGATCTTCCCAAGAATTTAATTTTTTTTTTCAAATCATCGAAGGCCTTTCTTTTTTCTATCGAAAATAGTTTGACAAAAAAATATTTAACATATAATTTATTAATTACTACAAGACGGAAAGAGGGCTTCTTGTTCGCACAGTACTAACATCAAGATGGCGCTAGTTGTATGGTGAGGCACGATACTACGAAAAATGAAAAAACCCTCGGGTTATGTTACACACTCGAACCAATAGTTTACCTTATCTTGCATACTTTACCCCATTTTAAATATAATCGGAAATCGATTCCTAATAAAATGCTCATGTTTGTTATATGCGCCTTAAAGTATGCTCATCTACTCAGACTACTATTTGTTGGATCCATATCAATGTCAAGATGGCGTTCGTTACGATATTTTTTTTTTAATAGTTAAAGTCCTGCTAAGACAGATACTCGTTCAAAGAATTTCTATATCAAGATGGCGCTCGTCTCAAATTGTTAATTCTTGTCAGGGAACGCTTACATTGAGTATTATTTTCAAGGTGGCGCTGGTTTGAAAATTAAAAAAATATTTTAATTTTTACCACCAAAGATTATTTTCAAAAAATTTCTATAAAAATTTAATTTTAGGACAGGGTTTCTAATCACCTATGAAATGCATTTTAGGGGACTAGGACATTTTGGAAAATTCCCCTTACCCTTACGATTAACAATAGAAATTATAACAGGCCTCCTATTGAAAACATAATACATCTGGAGACTTTTTTCGAGTACAAAAACCACAGGACTCAAAAATATTGTATATATTATTCTTGCAACTTTTTTTAAACATTACCCTTAATAAACCCTTGACTCAATCAACCTTTTTCAGTTTTAAGTTTTTATTAAAAATCCAACATTATAATTGATACCATAATATAATTTGGTAAGATTTCATCTAAATATACCGGGAAACTGTATAAGAGATCCTGTCACGTGGCATGGCAACCATTACAACAAGAGCAATTATCGAAAGTAGCTTCATTTTTTTAGTTTCCTTGGTCGTATCCTTCCCACGATGGATTTCAAAGGTGTTATTTTCGAAAAAGATGATAAAATTTCAATGCAACTAGGATTTAAATAGTTTTATAAGACCTTTAAATATCTTAATTAAAGGGTGTGACGAATTAAAAAAAACGTCTTAATAAAATAGACAAAAGATCGAAATTAATTTTCACAATACCCTATTGTTTATGGAATCGTATAATTTTTCTTTCAAAATATTATGAACGAAATCATTTACTTCATCGACAACTTCATTTGCACAACAAGATGACATACTCTTAAGTTTCAGCTAAAATACTCAAAATTACTAAAAAGTCACGTTTTCAGAATTTATGATATGCAAATTTTAAAATTTCGCAACTAAATCTCCAATTCATTAACTTCACATTTAAACTTAAACATAACTTCTAAATTTGTCACGCATTTAACTGCATATGCCTGCCACTTAATGATTAACAATTTGCCACCAATGTAGAACTATATAAGCGAAGCGAAATCGTTTCAAAATCATTCTACTATTCATCTTTGTATTTGCATACAGTTTGAAAAGTAATCATCCTCCAAAAATGAAGTTCCTAGTTATGGTTGTTGCTGCTTTCACCGCTCTATTGGCCTACAATGATGGCAATGTAAGTTCTTGATTATATTATATTGATTCTGCAAAAAATGGAATACATTTTCTATATTTTATAGCCACCACCATTCAACCCTGGCAAGTAGAGGATTTCAGAACTCCTGCCACCTGATAACATGATTGCAATAATAAAGGATTTGTTTCCCACTTGAAAACACCAATCATAAATAAAATGCTTATAAATATGATTTAAAAAGAAACTAGCTTAACTACAGCCATAGAATGGCTGAAGGGGTTTTTTTGCCATAGAAGGTCTTCTATTTTTAATAGAAGGCCCAAAGAGCCTGAAGGGCTTATATTTTCATTAGAAGGCCTGATAGGGTTCTATTTGCCATAGAAGGCCTAAAGGGCTTATATTTCCCATAGGAGGCCTAAAAGGCTTATATTTGCTAAAGAAGGCTTAAATGGCTTCAATAGCCATATAAGGCCTAAAGGGCTTCTATTTGCTAAAGAAGGCTTAAAGGGCTTCTATAGCCATATAAGGCCTAAAGGTCTTCTTTTTGCCATAGAACTTTCAATAGAAAGCCTGAAGGGCTTCTATTTTAAATAGAAAGGCCTTATATTTTTAATAGAAGGTCTGAAGAGCTTCTATTTCCAATAAAAGGCCTTTGAAGAGCTTCTATTTCCAATAAAAGGCCTTTGAAGGGCTTCTATTTTCAATAGAAGGCCTTTGAAGGGCTTCTATTTTCAATAGAAGGCCTGTGAAGGACTTCTATTTTCAATACAAGGCCTTTGAAGGGCTTCTATTTTCAATAGAAGGCCTTTGAGGGCTTCTGTTTGCCATAGAAGACCTGAAGGGCTTATATTTTCATTAGAAGGCCTGATAGGGTTCTATTTGCCATAGAAGGGCTTCTATTTTCCATAGAAGGCCTAAAGGGTTTATATTTACTAAAGAAGGCTTAAAGGGCTTATATAGCCATATTAGGCCTAAAGGCCTTCTATTTGCAATAGAACTTTCAATGGAAAGCCTGAAGGGCTTCCATTTTTAAATAGGAATACCTTATATTTTTAATAGAAGGCCTGAAGGGTTTATATTTTCAATAAAAGGCCTTTGAAGGGCTTTTATTTTCAATAGAAGGCCTTTGAAGGGCTTCTATTTGCAATGAAAGGCCTTTGAAGGACTTCTATTTTCAATAGAAGGCCTTTGAAGGACTTTTATTTTTAATAGAAGGCATTTAAAGGGCTTCTATTTGCCATAGAAGATCTGAAGGGCTTGTATTTGCCACAGAAGACCTGAAGGGCTTGTATTTGCCATAGAAGACCTGAAGGACTTGTATTTGCCATAGAAGAGCTACTATTTTCAATAGAAGGCCTCAAGGCCTTCTATTTCCTATAGTAGGCCTCAAGGGCTTCTAATTTCAATAGAAGACTTGAAGGGCTTCTATTTTCAATAGAAGACCAGAAGGGCTTCTATTTTCAATAGAAGACCTGAAGGACTTCTATTTTCAATAGAAGACCAGAAGGGCTTCTATTTTCAATAGAAGACCTGAAGGGCTTCTATTTTCAATAGAAGACCTGAAGGGCTTCTATTTTCAATAGAAGACCTGAAGGGCTTCTATTTTCAATAGAAGACCTGAAGGGCTTCTATTTTCAATAGAAGACCAGAAGGGCTTCTATTTTCAATAGAAGACCTGAAGGGCTTCTATTTTCAATAGAAGACCTGAAGGGCTTCTATTTTCAATAGAAGACCTGAAGGGCTTCTATTTTCAATAGAAGACCTGAAGGTCTTCTATTCTCAATAGAAGACCTTCAGGGCTTTTATTTTTTTTATTAGGCCTAAAGGGCTTCTTTTATTAATAGAGGGCCTGAAGGGCATTTATAGGATATGAGCGACTTCAAGGTCTTCTATTTTCCATAGAAAACCACAACGGCTTCAGTGTCTTCTACTTTCCACAAAGGGCCTGAAGGGCTTTTATTTGGCATAGTATTTCTGAACTTCCCAGATGTTTCAGTTTTCCATAGAAGAATTCCTCACACCTTGACCATGAACCTGGAAAGATGTCACATTTTAAGGTGACAGAATTTAAATCCTTCAAATAATCAAATCCTCCGTCCGTGATTTGAGGGCAATTTGTCATTTTGGCGTTTTTGTCTGTGACATCGACTGATTTATTCGCATTCGCATTTAAGATTTCCAAAAAAACGAGGTAATAAATCAAATTCATTGAGGCCCAGCGTTTTTCATCGTACCGTTCGTTATTCGTGCTCAGCTGAAGTGTGCAAAATTTTCTAAATAAATATTTTTTCTACGTGTTTATTCAATGAAATTGCATCGCTTCGTTCGTTCGTACGTTTGGCTGGCGGCTAAGGTCTTAGACGTTATCGGGATTAACAATCAAATTAACAACAAGATTTTTTAATGTTTGCACAATTCCGAAATACACCAACAATTGTGTCAGAAATAGCTTCGACAATATTTCATTGCATTTGATTGGGATAATAAAATTTATAGATTTATCTATAGATGGGGTGTGGAAGAGGGGGGCAGGTGTGAGTGGGTCTCCCTTCTCCTTGAAATGAATTAATAATATTTCTAATAAATTTTCATTCCTGTCGGTGTGTTTGCATATCTTTCGATATTCAATTTATGATATTCTGGCCTCTACCATCACCTGGCCAGAACACAACTTGAATTTGCATAAATATTGAATTAGAATAAACACAGATTCTTTGGGTGAATATGGAAAAAATTTTTTTTTCCTCTTTTCGGTTATTCATTGAAATCTTTTAAAAATCCTAAATAAAAAATATGTCTGCAAAACGTTTTCCGTTTGCTTTTGCATTTATTTGCTTTTTCTCTGCTGATGTTCTCTTCTGTTCTTCCGTGTGAATTTGATATCGGTTGTGAGATATATAGGCAGTGTTGTTGTATTATTGACGCACTTCCTGTACATCCTGTCGAACAACAATAATACCCATAATGATTTGTCAATAATACGTGACATGAAATCTCAAAATACAATCACTGTTACAGGCAGCAACAACAACAAGAGTAATATAAATATTTCAGTGGGTGTGTGTGCAGATTCTTAGTTGTCGTAGTCAGGTATGTATGTGCACATATACACCGATACTATGTATTTAAACTTAAATATTGTAATTGTGTTTGTATGTCAAATTTATTTAACTTCAATTCGGAACAATTCATCAATATTGGGGTGGTGGATGTCTGCGGGTAACATTTACTAGAAAATTTTCTGGCCCTTGAGAACATCCTGAAGGGCTTCTATTTTTTAAATAACACCTCAAGGTCCTATATTTTCAATAATAGACCTCAAGAGCTTCTATTTTCCATAGAAGGTCTGAAGTGCTTCCATTTTTCATAGAAGGCCAGAAGGTCTTCTATTTTCAATAGAAGACCTGAAGGGTTTTTATTTTCAATAGAAGACCTCAAGGGCTTTTAGTTTCAGTAGAAAATATCAAGGACTTATATTTTCAATATAGGGCCTGAAGGGCTTCTTTTTTCAATAGAGAGCCAGACGGGCTTCTATTTTCAATAAGGGGCTTCTATTTTTAGAGGGTCTGAAGGGCTACTATTTTCAATAGAGGGCCTGAAGGGCTACTATTTTCAATAGAGGACCTGAAGGGCTTCTATTTTCAATAGAGGGCCTGAAGGGCTACTATTTTTAATAGAGAGCCTGGAGGGCTACTATTTTCAATAGAGAGACTGAAGGGCTACTATTTTCAATAGAGGACTTAAAGGGATTCTATTTTCAATAGAGGGCCTGGAGGGCTTTTATTTTCAATAGAGGACCTGAAGGATTTCTATTATCAATAGAAAACCTAGAGGGCTTCCATTTGCCATAGAAGGCCTGAAGGGCTTCCATTTTCAATAGAGGGCCTGAAGGGCTTTTATTTTCAATAGAAGGCCTGAAGGGCTTCTATTTCCAATTCTAGGACTTCTATTTTCAACAGATGACCAGTTCTGCTATGAGAAGACCTTCTGGACTTTTCTGACAAGAAGACCTTGTGGTCTCTGAGAAGACCTTCTTTAGCTCTTCTATGAGAAGACCTGCTTCAGCTCTTCTATGCGAAGACCTGCTTCAGCTCTTCTATGCGAAGACCTGCTTCAGCTCTTCTATGCGAAGACCTGCTTCAGCTCTTCTATGAGAAGACCTGCTTCAGCTCTTCTATGCGAAGACCTGCTTCAGCTCTTCTATGAGAAGACCTGCTTCAGCTCTTCTATGAGAAGACCTGCTTCAGCTCTTCTATGCGAAGACCTGCTTCAGCTCTTCTATGCGAAGACCTGCTTCAGCTCTTCTATGCGAAGACCTGCTTCAGCTCTTCTATGCGAAGACCTGCTTCAGCTCTTCTATGCGAAGACCTGCTTCAGCTCTTCTATGAGAAGACCTTCTTCTGCTCTTCTATGCGAAGACCTGCTTCAGCTCTTCTATGCGAAGACCTGCTTCAGCTCTTCTATGCGAAGACCTGCTTCAGCTCTTCTATGCGAAGACCTGCTTCAGCTCTTCTATGCGAAGACCTGCTTCAGCTCTTCTATGAGAAGACCGGCTTCAGCTCTTCTATGAGAAGACCGGCTTCAGCTCTTCTATGAGAAGACCGGCTTCAGCTCAACTATGAGAAGACCTTCTTCAGCTCTTCTATGAGAAGACCTTCATCAGCTCTTCTATGAGAAGACCTTCATCAGCTCTTCTATGAGAAGACCTTCTTCAGATCTTCTATGAGAAGCCCTTCTTTAGCTCTTCTATGAGAATAAGACCTTCTTTAGCTCTTCTATGAGAAGAAGACCTTCTTCAGCTCTTCAATGAGAAGAAGACCTCTTTCAGCTCTTCTATGAGAAGAATACCTTCTTCAGCTCTTCTATGAGAAGACCTGCTTCATCTCTTCTATGAGAAGACAACCTTCTGGTATTTTATGAGAAGAAGACCTTCTGGTCTTCTACGAGAAGTGGACGTCTTCTGGTCTTCTATGAGTAGAAGACCTTTTCTGGCCTTCTATGAGTAGAAGTTGAAGAAGACCTTCTGGCCTTCTATGAAAAGATTTTCCAATCTTTTTAGAGAAAACCTTCTGGTCTTCCAGGAAAATTACTTCTGGTCTTCAAGTATTCTTGGAGAAGATCTTCTGGTCTTTTAGGAAAAGGCTTTCTGATCTTTTAGGAGGAAACATGCAACTCTTTAATGAGTAGATTTTCTCTGCCTTCTATGAGAAGACCTTCTGTATCTTCTATGGAAGTTTTTCTCTT